CGGCAAGAGTGCCCTTAAGCCGCATGTGCTACCGGGTCCGATTCATCCTAATTTCAAGGGGGCCAAGCGGCTGTTCAACGACACGCTGTGACGTTGAGTACAGTGGAAACGACTGGGAACGGAACAGGATCAGGAACATTAATGGTCTTGGTGCTCTAATGGTATAATCCCAAAAGGATTGCAATCTAGCTCTCCTGTAAGTGTCACCCGACGAAGAGGGACCGCATTCACATCAAAAACCATCCCACTTCCTGACATGGCTTTGGAGATTAAGGTAGCACATCCACCATAGACATGACTTATGCTGGTTTTATAACACGTTAATATATTATTGATAAAGCTTCCATTCGATATTTTGCTATTTTAAAATGTTATGACCTTTATTTAGTTCAGAACGCATAACTATGCTTTACAAATTTCAATTTTCCAAAATAGTTGAAATTTATCCTGCATTGTAAGCTGGTACGACTAAACAACTTGAAAAGTCTATTAATTTCCACCCAAATAAGATCCGCATAAGACATGTACTAAATGTAACCCCTTAACCTTTTAGTAGTTACAATTACGACTTAAAGTACTATTGCTTGTAGGCCATTTTATGTTCAAGCTATCCTCTGAGTTGATATTGAAATAAAAGCAAACGTAGTATATGTAAAATGAAATAAAATCAAAATTTGTTTACCCTGCGGGAAAGACAACTGGATGTTTTCAGAATGTTTTCACTGTGGATGTAGCGCACCAGAAGGGTGTGCGAGGGCGAGTACTATATACATATACACGAATAAATGCAAATCTACTGTGATCGTACGATCGTTTCGAGTGGTACATCAATCGAATGGTATCACAAAAACTTAAAGGATTGCATACCAAGACTTTTACAAAAATCAACTGGTTTGGGAGAAAGAGCGATGAAAGTGTAAAAGTGAAAATTTAGTAAATTTGATATGTTATCTGGGGATAAATGCACAAGATCATTAGTCTAGTGGCATTCTCATATAAAATACGCGTCATATGACATCTCAATTGTTAAAACCCGTTAAAAAGTTATACGCAAAACAAGATTTTGGGGGACTTTAGGGTCCTAGAAATTAAAGATGATGTTAAACAGCTCAATATAGGAAACTTTAGTTATACCATTTTGGGAAAAACTCGGTAGTTTTGCGGTAAATAGCTAAATTTCGTACGCCCGTAACTTGTGAATTTCCAAAACTACATGATTGTGCTATAAGTCGTTGGAAATACTGTGTACACCTTCCTAACATGATTTGTCTAATACCATTGTTAAAACGCTATTTTAGGGTCATGGAATCATTTCAATTGTTATAAACAGTTCCATATAAGAAACTTGAGTCTACGGCTTTTGAAAAAGTAGATTTATTATACGATTGATGTTTAAAACAAAAACTTCCGATATCAAACAAAAATACCTCTTAACGAATTAAAATCTAGTGACGATCGCACCTTCAACAAAAAAAAGTTCTGATATCAACGACAATCGACAACGATTATACGATCTACTAAACAAATGCACTTTCTAAATTTTTAACAGTCGGCACGCTGCAGTTCAATTAGCTGTTTTTTTTATAAAGCGTGTCAAATGATATAAATTTAAAAAGTGTATTTATTAGTAGATATATGATAGTCTTCTTTTTGTTTTCTCCTGTTACTTTGTCATAAAAAAAGATAACGGAAGGTTACTTGGGCAAGCCGATACTATAATACCCATGCAGAAGGAGAATGCCCCAAGTGGAAATATCTTCACAAACAACTTAACTTTGCTAATTTTTTCTGAATATTCCTATGGGGGCTATAGAATTTAGACGTTTGATCGGCACGCGCGTCAACCCTGATTAAAGTATGCATAAAAAATTACGATTTGGAAAGATATCTGTCAATAGCTTTTAAACTGCGTGAAATATCTTCAATTATATGGGAGTTTCAAACTTGATCTGTGTACACATTTGTGTACGTACGACGAAAAGTTCAGATCGCTAGTTTTTAAAATGATCTCGCAAGCGATATTGATACAGACGGACTTGGCTATATCGAGTTGTCTTGTGCTCCTGATACATACACTTTATAGGGTCGGAAACGTCTCCTTCACAGCATAACAAACTTCTTACCAAAATTATAATACCATCTGCAAGGGTATAACAAGTTTAATAAGCTTAATCTTTCATATTTAAAATAAAATAAAAACAATAGTTGTCTTGTTGAGACCTTAAAATATTTTCTTTTTTAGTTGCAATAAAATAATAGTTCATAAAATAGTCGTTTCCCAGTTTTGAAGGCAATAAAAGCTTGCCTTATAACTTATAACTTATAAGTTATAACTAATCTTAAGCGAATATTTTTTTAAATGTAATAAATTTTTAATTTAAATTTAATTTAATTTGATTTGATTTCATTTAATTTGAATCAAATGTACTTAGCCTTTCTAGATCTTTTATTTTAGCATTCAACATTTTCTTTTTAAGAGATTTGGAAAAAACATTTAAGAAAGCTTGTATGGGTGACAATTGGTTTCGATTTCCTTTGATAAAATCTGGCCTACCGAAAATCATCAAATTGTAAATCATGATGTTTATAATGCTTATATTTATTATCAGTCAAAATCTGCAAATTGGGTAACCCAGATTCGATAGTCGGATTTTCGTCGAACTTTTAGCTTCTCCGTTACAAAATTAGAAAAGGTCACAAAAAGGCACTTCTTTGAAAAAGTCAGATGAGTTCTTTAATTTATACATTCGACATATCTTAATACTATTTTTACTAATCAGTCATAAATTAATGTTAAATAATTAAAATTACAGTATTTGCTTATTAATTTTACTGATTTTTATGCACCTTGAAAACAAGTGAAAATAAGGATAACAGAGGTACAAGCCTAAAATCTGCGTTATTTTTGTCGTTAAGTAATACATATTGCAGTATACTTTAAATAAAGGTCTCAAATAAGTAAAATTTACAGCCCCTGGATTAACCTATTGTTGATTTAACTCAGTCGATTGCACTCATAGCTCCTTATATGAGTCACTTTGCTCTTGAGTTTGCAGTTAACAGACTTTACATTTTCAGTCCACTTGCAGTTGAGCTAAAGAAATTGCATTTAAGAGAGCAATTGGCATGCAATTTGAGTTTTTAAATAAAAGAGCTCAACTTACTTACTCAACGAAAGTGCTCAAATTGGTTAACATTTGACTCACAATGAGATGAGACTTGCTCAAATGTTAAAAATGGTAAAAATTTTAAGTCCTTTGATACTAAATTTATTTTATCTAGTAATGAAGTCTCAGTTAGATCTATAGCACAAATCAGTTACTAGACTTTTTACTTTTCTTCAAAAGATTAAATACATAGTCCCAGCTTCTCTGAGCATGTCTTTTTTGTTTTTATTAACGGCTGAATCTATTACATTCAATTTCAATTTGCAAGTGTGTTCTACATTTGAATGCCATTGTAAGTTGAATAAAAAACTCTTTTGGTTATGTCATTTTGCGGTTGATGTGTATTAAAAGATATTCATACGCACTCACAACACAATTCACAAACAGTTTTGATCCCACCCATGCAAAATGAACTTCCGATCCGTCCAACGCAATTGGTTGAATAATAAATTTTCATAATAATTGAATATTGGGCACCGCAGAGGGGAATTTTGGGGCGGATGGAGGAGGTGTGACATGTTTATAAATCTGTTTAAAGTGAATGGCCAGCAACAATAACAGAATTCATTTCCTCGAGGATAACATCTGTTCAGAAGTGTTGCAACACGATTGAACAAATTAAGTTTCACACAGGACCAGCAGGCACAGGACACGTTAACTTTCTACACATTTGACGCATGTTTTGTCCTCCTGGTATTGGTGTCCCCGTCCTCCAGCCCACTTCACTCGATTCGATCTCATCCCTCACAATTCCTGTTGACAATCTGTTTAAGTTGCGTAAATCCCAGCCAAACAAGTCAGTGCAACGAATACGTGTGTGTATGTCCAACTACACACAGCACTGGCACTTCACTTGAATTGTGTGTCTATCGAACTACGGCTGGGAAACTATTTCCCCCCGGTAAAAGCCAACCTGTCTTGTCGCCACCTCATTTTCCTCCGAGTGCTGTGTTGTATGCATGTCTTGTGTATTAAAACTTGTCGAAATTTTATTCAATTTACGTGCACTTAGGCGACGATTGTACATTAAGATATGACGCACAAACTTGAAGCACTGCACAGCTGATCCGCATCCTCCCCCACTTTTGGCCCCCTGGACGATTTATTTGAATGCTCGGTAATAGATATGGATACGTGGAATAGTCGGCAGACTGAGGAAAGTGCCAGATACAAGTACATCTGGGTAATTGGTTACCCTTTCCAGCCGACACGTTTGTAGGAGGTCTTTAAGCAGAGCATGGCATTCAAAGCTTAAACCTGATAGTCCCTAGTAAATAAACTATTTTAAACACATTTTCTGAGCTAAAAAAAGATAGTCAATAACATCACAGATTTTTAAACTTTATGATACTTTGATACCCTTTCCAGCTGACACGACTGTAGGATTAAACCTGATAATCATAAGAAAATTTTAAAACATTTTGTGAAATTAGCTAACTTCCCAGTTCATTTTATCTTAGTGATACTTCTATTTTAAAAATTCTTCTATAAACTTCAGTTTTTAGAACTTCTTGAAATAAATTCCTTTTTATATGTTAGTTTAATGGGATCATAGGCAATGATTTGGAATAAAAAACGTTACCATAAACCAAAAACATTATAGAACACGTTGTAAACATTTTAAAATGGAACTCTGAACACTTTTCTAAGTGCATGATCGCCTGGAGCATTTATTTGATTATTCTAGGTCCAGCCCCTTTTTCCCAGCGCTTTGCCGACTATTTTTAGCTCTTTAATGGATCGCAATCTATTTTTTACCCAATCAAATCGGGGTGTACGGCTTGAACTTCGGCGAGGCTATAAAACCAGCGGTCGGCCAGTTGCGCAGTTCAAGTGCACGGAAACTGTTCCGGGACGGAACTCGCGGATATGTGGTTCGAATTTATTGTGATGCTATATTTGCTGGGCTCCTTAAGACCCTCGATATCGGCATTCCAAAACTGTGCACCTGAAAAGCAATGTGTGCCGTACGAACAGTGCAACGAGGGTCTAACGGTGGACGGAAAATTCTACCCGGATCGCAGTCGGACGACTTTGGATGAGAACTGCCACTATATGGAAAAGTGCTGTAATACCCAAGATATAGTAAGTACAGTGTTGAACAAAAAGCAAAAGAAAGAAATAGAAGAAATCCAATACTGTTTACTGAATCTCATAACAAAATCAATTCCGATTTCGTTTTAACTCTCTTTGTTCTATTTAATCCCTAAAGGATTATTTTAACCAGTTGACGGCTGCAATGACAACCACATTCAATTATTATTTTAGTTTTAACTTTAGTCCGTCAAAAAAGCCATCCTTAATATCAAAAAAAAATCGCTTATCCTTTAGTTGATAGTTTGCGTAAAACTGCATTCTCTTTACAAACTGTTTGTAATAAAAAATCTACCTTTGTTCCGTTTTTTTAGTACAAGTTTTTTAAGCCCTTATTTTATAGTTGAGTTTAATTGAATTAATTAATTAAAATAATGCTTGGTTACCAATAGCTCTCGACACCCGGACTCCCTCAGGAGGCGGCCAACTGTCCATGTGGGGGTCGCCATGATCTCTGGTACTATCTCAGACCACTGGGCTACAAGCAGCAGGAGGCCAAGTTCGGGGAGTTTCCCTGGCTGGTGGCGGTCTACGGGGCGGATGCGTACCTCTGCAGTGGGGCACTCATCACTCCGCTGGCCGTGATAACCACAGCCCACTGTGTCCAGAATGTCCAGGAAGCCGGAAAGCTTCGCGTGGTGGCCGGGGAATGGGATGCTGCCGTGGAGCTGGAACCCCAGCCACACCAGGCGAGATCGGTGGTTGAGTCCTTGGTGCATCCCAACTACACGCAAATGCCAATGGCCAACAACATGGCGATCCTGCTGGTGGACAAGGATAAACCCTTTCAGTTGGCCCCCAATGTGCAGCCCATCTGCCTGCCGCCCCCGCAAATGGCCTACAATTATAGTCAGTGCTATGTGTCCGGTTGGCAGAGAGGCGACTTCGGGGGAACAGCGATCCTGCCCAAGCGATGGACCCTCTATGTCCTGCCCCCCGATCAGTGCAGGACCAAGTTGCGATTGTCATTTTTGGGGCGACGCCACGCCCACAACGATAGCCTGCTGTGCGCCGGCGGCGACAAGGGTGACTTTGTCTGCGGCGACGTGGACATGACCGGAGTGCCCCTGATGTGTCCCCTCTCCGGCCACGACGACCGGTTCCACTTGGCCGGCCTCTTGACCAGGACAGCCCGCTGCGATGGCCCGCAGTTCCTCGGTATTTACACGAACGTCAAGTTGTACCGGCAGTGGATCGATCTGAAGCTGAGGGAACGCGATCTCGATATAAGGCAGTACATGGTGTAAACCAATTCCCGAAAATAAACAGTGCGTGTATGATGACTCGTCTTTGTTTTACTTTAGTTCTTATACAGAAAACTGATTTCACATTCAAAGTTCGTTTTGTTAATATTTTTTAATCGTAATAATATTATCAAATTTTTTATTATAACAAACAGTTTCAATATCTTGAAGGGTTAAGTAAAACTAAATTCAGTTGTAAAATCAGTTTGTCAATTTAAATTTAGTTGCAGTTCATACTATGTGCTATTTGGTGGGAACAATATTTTGAAAGACAAAATAGAAAAAATACAATGTTGTAAGACCAGATTAAGACTTTTAACTCAAAAAAGTATTCCAAACAAATTATTTACATTTGTTTTTGTTACTCCATCCATTTAAGAAATCTCTATCATTTAAGAAGTTTAAGAAATTAATCCATTATTAAATTGATCGACTGGAGTCTTTTTTTATAAATCTCCTCAAATTGACTGTTAAAAATTAAATCAGATGAGCATATATTAATTAATAAAAAATATTTTATAATTAGATTTTACAGTGATTTCTGCTACTGTATATTTACTTAACTTGTTGTTTACCAGAAACCTATTTCGTATCGCTGGAAATCCAGGAATTGGCCAGACCACCTGGTTAATTCTCCAATTTGTAATCTCAAACCCTTCGCTGCACTTGCCTATAAAAGGCCCTGGAGAAGGTGTGTCAGTTTAGTTGTGTGGATGGCCACACACCTGGCTTGACCTCCCATGGGCTCCCCACTTCTTTTCCTGCTGATGGGCTTCTGGCTTCCACCAGCCAATGCAAAACTAATCTCCAGGGAAGAGCCTTACGAGGATGATTTTGTGGCTGTGGACTTCGATGGCTGCACAAAGTGCGAGGAGAACTACAGGAACTTTGTGTTTGTCCTGAAAAATTCGGAGCTGACTGAAGAGGAGGCCGCATCCGCTTATCCATATGTGGCATTTATTATGTGGCTTCTTCTGGCTGCCCTGGTGATTGGCCAACGTTGGCGAATAAAAAATAAATAAGTTTAAGTTCTTAATTAAAGAACCAACCTGTTATAGGTTCTCTACCCAAATCAACTTCTTTGGGCCTAATTTATCGCCAGGCCAGAATCGCTGTTAATTAATAGCGCTTTGCGCCTGACTGACGGCTTGGGTCAGAACTGCCGTTTGTCCTTTTTGCAGATTCGGATTTTGGCAACTCGCGCTGAGTTATGGCTGGGCGATATGTGCCCGCTGTTTTGCATATCCTGGTCCACCCGCTGCCTTGGTGCCTAAATTGAAAATTGAAAAATTGCTTATTGCAAATTTGTTGCCCGCAATCGCACGGCCATACGACTCGGAAAAGCAGAAAGAAGAACCAAAATATCGTTACATGCTCTTTGCTCTTTTGAACTTCCGTTTGCCATTTTGGCGTAGTGCACGTGCCGGACAACGGACACTGGACTTGAATGGCGGATGGAGGATGGAAGATGGAGGATGGAGGATGGAGGATGGAGGACGCAGGACTACGGAAGGGTCCTGTCCTGTCCACCCGCTGGCTGTTGCTGCTGCTCCTGCTCCTGCTGCCGTTTCCTGTGCGAGAATTTAGCAATATATTTTTCTTACTCCGTTTGACGTCCTTCGTATCTGGCCAACTGCAATAGCCAACAGCCAGCAGCAACCAGTGCTGCCAGCGACTATTTAAAAAATGGACAAAAAAGGGAAATTATTCCATTTAAATATTTCTTAAAAATATTATTATATTATCTTATAGTTATTATTATTCTTGTGTTGATATACTTATTCTTGTGTTGATATATTTATTTGCGATTCTTCCAAAAACATACTGTTCTATATATATAAATAATTATATTTATAAATAATTTCTAGTTAGTGATTGTCATTCAGAGGGTCAAAATTATTAACATTATTTCAAGGTTTTAGGTAGTTTTTAAAAATTTTTATTCACAATTTTAAGGTTAGGTTTAGGTCCCAACTTATACACGTACATTTTTATTTATTTTCTCTTATTTAATATGAATCCGTTTTTATTTTTAATAATAGTGTTAAAAACTAAGAGGAGAATACTAATACTGTATAATATGCTGTGATAATCTACACTATAAGTCAACTTTGAAGACCGAAAGTATGACATTTTTCGGCATGAAATGGACAAATGGGCAGCACTGCATCCAACTGCAGTGGCATTGGCAATGGAAATGGCAATAGCCAAAGCGAACAGAACGTTAAAGGAAAATAGGAAACTTTTGCATATTTTGTACTTTATGCTTGAAATATTTATGATCTCATGCAATTTGTGGCTTACTGCTTGGTCTTGGCCATCGTCTGGGTGGTTTTGGTCCGGTCTGGTGTGCTTGGCTGGTTCCTCCGCCGGCCACGGGAACCACATCTAGCGACGTGTCTGCCAATCTGTGAAATATGCTGCTAATGCACTTATTGCCATCGTTCTATTGAATTTATGTCGGAATCGTCTCAGACTTGCGGTCTCTGCATTTGATGGTTTTCCCCTTCCCGTTCTCTAATTTAGGGTGAATTTTTGTGGCACTTCGCACGGCCCACGCCCCTGGCACTCAGCCTAATTGTGCTTCCGATTCAGATTCATTCTGAACTTAATGGGCTGGGCTAGTTAAGCCCTTGCACTCGACAATCGGTCAGCGCAATAATACTTACTTCAAAAACTAAAACTTTTAATGAGAGGTGGTGGCTCTAGATTGCGATAACTGCAAATGCTTTATTCAAACTTGGTTTCTATTTGATGAGTAAGGAAATATTTCTAGGAAATCCCAATAATCGTACATAATTTATCATAAGGATAAAAGTAAATTTCTTGAATCTTCTCGATTTGGGTAGATGTAGTTCAGTGAATATTTAAATGGGTTTTTATCCAAATAAATGAAACAAATTTAATAAATTTGACCTATATTTGAAATGCTTACAATCAAATAAACCAAAAACAATCTTATGTTAATCAAAGTTTATAAGTCAACATTAATTTTTGTATTATTATAGGTGCTTTAAATGTAAGATTATAACTTTACTGGGAGAGCCCCGAACATCTAAATTTGTTTCACATTTTCATAGCCATCGATTAGTGTCTAAGATTGGACTATGTTCCAGGCTTTTGTGGTTTTGTGCCGACCACGAAAGTGCTTAATCAATTGAAAATTGGCCTTGGAAAGCGTTCAATGCTCTTGGTCTTTTATTGCTGCGGAAATTTGTGTAGCAAATTTTCAGCCACACACATTTTTCAAGCACACTCGCCTGCAGAAACTCGGCTGACAATCCGACATACACTGACCAGCCAACTTCCTCCGAACTCCGGCCGACAGCCCAACCAGGACGGGGATGGTTCCTTTCCTCCTATTATGGTCCTGCAACTGCATGCACTTCCGTTAAGGAAATTACCAAACAACCCGCGCATCCGGCAGATGTGCGCCCGCAGTGCTGCAAGCCATTTCCAGACATCATTGTCCTCATCCTCGTCCTCGTCCTCTGCCCAGGATAACGAGAGAGCATCAAAATGAAGTGAAATTAATAAAATGCCTGGAAGCATGCCACGTTGTCTTCTCCACGGATATCCAACTTGGTGGTTGGATAAAAATCCATTGCTATTGCTAGTTGCTTGGGGCATAAAACTGGGATTCTAGCTATCTATATAATATATTGAGCTTAGAAGGTCTGAATCTGAACCAAAAATTAGTATAAACATTTCGCAGGTTATATTGTGATTTTTAAACAGAATATAGTTACAATAAATGGGAAATAATAAAAGCAATGTTCATTATTTTGTTAGATTGTTTTAAAAGCAAACTCTCCTTTTACATTTTAGGAAATACAAATAATATTTCTGATCTTAAGTCTTTAAACTAATTTGATATTTAATCAATAAATAATTGGTAATGATAAATCTGAAAAAAATTTTGCAAGTGCGTGCAAGTTTCAATTCGATAAAGAGGTTTAAAAATGTACATTAAAGTGTAAGGGATTTCCTTTCCCAAGTGACTTTTTACATAATATATTCTGTAATCGCTTTATTAGTTCTCGGAACCATGTTAATACATTCTTTCGGCTGCCTCAGAACAGCCAAAACTGAGGTGAACCCATCCTTTTCGTTATTTTAATCATAATTTTAAGCACACCCGACCGCACACGGCATTCAAGGCGGTGGATAAGGTAAGTCCGCCACTCCTTATTGCGAATCCGCCCTTTCCCCGGAATGTTACTTTGCAAACTCATCAAAGTTAAGTTGCCTATGCCTGGGCAATATCGGTGGGAGCTGAGATGGAGATGGAGATGGCCTGGCCTGGTAGTAACTTAAGCTGCCACAGCGGCACTTCGACGTGGAAGTTCCCAGTTCCCAGTTGCCAGCAAATATATGTAAGTGGGTTCTATCTGTATAAATGAAATATTTTCGGCAAACGAGGAGGGCAACGGATAAGCGGGGGAGTGTATCTCATAGATGCTGCTATAACTTGTCTCGAATTTGTGTTTGCCTTGCCGAATTTTCATTTCAATTTTCCTGCAGTTTTATTTAATCTCACTTGAGGTGCAGCAGCGGATGTTCTCGAGTGTTTGCCATGAGTTGGGGTTTTCTTAGTGGTTCGTATTTATTGCCAAATACTTGCGCTCCTGTATTTCCATCTCTTTGTTTACTCTTGTTATTTGGCAACTTACACAATTACCTGTATGTCTTCATAATAACTGACCAACAATATACAGATATTTAATTTAGTATTTAATATTAGAGAAGAACTCAACTAGGGTGCATATCTCTTGTTCAACCAAGCTACTAGCATTTATTTACTTGCCTTTTCATTTCAATTCCATTTCAATTTTACCTTAATTAATTTGCCTACCTTTGGGTTGTTTTTCATATTTACCCTGCATTAACTTGAGCATACATTTATGTTTGTTTTCCTGGAAGAGCATTTGCCATGTTCATCCCAAGACTTGAAGCTCCGTTCGAATTCGAATGTATTTTCTAAGTTAGATCTGGCGATTGGTTTGTTATTGTTGAGCGTACTCAATGACAAAAGTTTAGCAAACAAAACTGTTTGCCCCAACCACTTGAGCACCTTTTTCTTTGCATATTTGTCTTGCAAACTCCACTGGGAACTGGCAGAAATGTTCACCCAAATAAAAGGTGGAGAGCAGAATGCCATGAATGAGAGTGAATACGTATAGATATGCATTTGGCCAAGCACACATCTGACTTCCACTTTTCTTTCTCCCACTTTTTGTCTGTTGCAATTTGTTCCCAATTGATTTCCAAACACTTGGAATTTATTGGTTTTCAAAAGTTTTCCAAATTTTATTGTTTCCGCTAATTCCTTTTGTCCAGACCAGGCAGAAAACCCCTTTTGGCCGGAAAGTTTTCCCGGTAATGGTAGCCATTGAATTGAAGGACCTTTGTGGCCCCAGTGTGAATAAAGGTTTTTTTGATTTTCTTGCCAATTTTGATTTACTTAAAGCCAGCTTTCACATATGGCTAAGACTTTATGAATTCCGCAAAGCCACTTGGGAAATATTTTGTTGGTTAAAAGCCTTTTTACACTCAAAGTGTTACAAATAAATTTGACTACGAACCAATTCCAAATAGGTTTTATTTAAGTTTCGATTTTCGGAATATTTTTTAAGAATTTTTAAAATATTAACTAAAAGTGCATCCATGCCATTTACAAACGAAACATTACAGTAGACTTAGAGATACTCGTTACTCATCTAAAGGGAGTGCGAGGGAGATGGAGATATGCGTGCAACAAAACAGCTGTTTCCGAGATGGCATACGTTATTTGCTGGTAACTTTTTAATTAATGGTCCGATTTGAACAATTTTTGGAATGCAAATTGGTATTGATAATCACTTTTACCTGCTGATATAAACTTGCGCTGCGCAGGAATCTCAAGAATCTGCATAAAATATATTTTCTTAAATTTATTTCTTTTAATCCTAAAATCCGACTTATTTTCATTAATTTAACTACAGTAGACTTAGCTATATATATATTTTTTTAAAATAAAATAACAACCTAATAATAACGAATGATAAGACTGTTATTTAAAAATTCAAACATTTTCTTTAAGAATATGAGATTTTATAAAATATTATATTATTATTATATTTTACTACTGCTCTTCAAAACGTTTGGAATCATCAATATTTTTTTTGGGATTTGAAACTATCCAAAGTTTGTTAGTAATATTTTATTTTAGTGCACAAGTATGTAACATGTTTGGATATTTAATTCTGCGAATGTCTGGCAATGTTCGTCATCATCTGTTGGCGTTCAATGTCCTGTGCGCATGTCCTTCGCCTTGAGCGGCCCAGCTGTGCCGCATTGTTTTCCTGCTGTTGTCGACGCGAGTAAAATTTTTGTCCAACTGCCAAAAAAAACTTCAAAAATTGAATAACACATAATTTAAATTCGTACTAGGAACAAAATTGGACACAATCCGAAAGCTAAGCGAGAAGTGAAATAAAGAAATAAAGTATATTGCTGAGTTAAATGCTTTGAAAAGGTGATAAAAGTGTGTGATTGAGGCACCTGCATAAATGCACTATGTGAAAATAATTATTACAAACGCATCGCTTAAGGCCAAAGTCGGCTAAAAAGTATATAATCTGGATTATCGAAGGCATTTTTGTGGATTGAAACAGCTTTATACAAAATAATAGACGCCAAACTTTGCACAGATTTTATTGATTTTTCCTTTGTAATTGGCCAGCAAGGAAAAGTCTGCGGAGAGCGCACTCTCTGTCTGCTCACGGCTTTCCCATTTCCCTCTCCAAAAGTGCCGCTCTCATTTTGCCCCTTTGTTTTGCTCAGCTTGTTCGCAAATAAACAACCCAAGTTACCCTACACAAAATTCACCGAAAAAATTATGTATTATCAGAAAGGCAAAAAAATAAGACTATAGACATGATAAGTTGCTCATGAGTGTTCGAAAAATAGCTGAATCATTGGAAAAATTATCGCCCTGAGAACAGAAACTAATCACCCGCTCCCTGCACTCCAACATGCTGAATAGCCGGAGCCCCCCTCAGTACAAGCAGCATTCCCCGGGGGGCTCCGTCGGCTCCGTCGGTTCCGCCGGTTCCATCAGCTCCGTCAATTCCACCAGCTCCGCGGCCCAGTTGCTGGGTCACTACCAATCCGCCTACGGACAACAGGGCCAACACTCGCACGCCTGCTACCAGCACCAATTGCAGCAGCAACACCAGCAGCAGCAGAAACATCAGCAATACCATCACCACCAGCATCATCACCACGGAGGACGCACCTCGCTCACCCCCACCATGAAGCGGGGCAAGAAGCAGTGGGGCACCAGGGAAAGATCCGGCATGAGTTTCCTCATCGTCATCACGTTCTTCGCCGTCTTCGGATTGATCATACTGACCGAGGTGAGTGTAGAAAGCAGTTAAAAATGTATTACGATGTAGATAACTTACTCAAAACCTTATATTAACTTTGACTTTTTTACAAGATCATATAATTTAGATATTTTAAACTGTTATTTTGTTCCTAACATCATGTAGGTACTGCCCACAAATAATCCTTGATAGTTATAATGGTTTTACCATATATACATCGTTAATGTTATGTTATCGTATTTAAAACACGAAAGAACGTTACAGTCGAGGGCTCAGACTATTAGATACTCGTTACTCAGCTATAGGAAGTGCGAGGGAGATGGTGATTCGCATGCAACAAATCGGCTGTTTCCGAGATGGCACACTTTGCTTGCTTATAACTTTTTAATTAAAGGTCCGATTTGAGTCCAATTTTTGGCATGCAGATGGGGAATGATAATCAGAACAAAATCCCATTAAAACTTTTACGCGATATAAAAAAATTTTTTTTCCTTGCTGGGCATGACACCCTGCTGAAATAAACTTGCGCTGCGCAAGAGCCTCAAGAATGTGTAATAAATTTATTTTCCTAAATTTTATTTCTTTTAATCCCAAAATCCGACTTATTTTAATTAATATAACAATACAGTTTAGGAAAATTAATCGAAGATATAATTAATTAATTGAGCTTAGCATTAAAAATCCAAAAGGTTAGATGGTATAAATATGAGATTTAAGGAAGCTTTAAATTGTACATTTTTATGTTTCAACTTAATTGAATTAAAAATGCAGTCGGCCCATTCTTAATGAGAGCCACTTGAAATTCAAATTGACCAAAGGCAACGTTTTTCCCATCCCGTTTTTGCAGGTCTTCATGATCGACGAGCGGACCCACAGCGGCATGCTGGCGATGCGGGCGGGCGGAGGAGGAGGTGCCAGTCTGGGCGGACGGATGGGCGACTCGATGCCGGATTATGATAATGTTAAGGTAAGTTGGCTATGCAAATCGCAGGCAGGGCCTAGGCAGCTTAGGGGACAACTCGTTAAGGTCCTTGGGAACGAAAAGATGTGCTTTTTGGTACGCTGGGCAGAACGATTTGAATACTTAAACAAAAATTTAACAATTCCATAAGCCTCAAGTAAAGACATTTACATAATAAACCTTACGTTCTATAAATATATTTTAAGTAACAAATTTAGGATAAATGTTAATTTAAAATAGAACATCGCAAGTTTACTTATTGCAATGTTATTTAATTGATAGTTCCATTTATACAATTTTTAAAAAATCATGTAATGTTTTCCCATCACTATAAATATTGCATTATGTTTATTTGCAGGACGATTACGATCTATTGGATGCCAGCATTTTGAGTGATAATAAATTAGGATTTATACAGCTGCGTGACAATAAACTGAAAATTCAAGGTAAGAATCGAAGCAATCCCCGGCACACAATGAGCCATTTCGCCAATAATGCGAATCGAAAAAAGGCTGACTGACAAAGGAGATGGCTGCGATGACAATGGGACATTACGTATACGCCGCATGTCTCATGAATTTTCCAATTTCACAGAAGCCGCAGGCGCCGATGGCCAGCGCTTGGCAGGAATACTCCTCAATGGCGGCGGGGGCGGTGGAGCGGGAGCGTTCGGTGTGAATGTACCGCTCATACCCTGGGGCCAGGTGCTGCCCGGCAAGGTGGAGGAGACGCTGCCCCACTTCCCATTTGGCACTCGGCCCACGGACGGCGCCTGGCAGGTTGTCAACGGCACCCGCTTCAAGTTCTTTGTCTACTCCGCCTACTTCGATCGGCGAGAAGGAGCGCGCCTGGTGCGAGTGGTGGGTGCCACCAAGACGAGGGGACCGGAGCGGGTCTGGTGCCGGTTCTGGTACGGACCGAGTGCTGCCAATGCCTCGGATGGGGGCTCCTCCTCCTCGACACGTGCCAAGTACTCCTCGGCCACTGTGATGGCCCGCGTCAAGGTGAGCCGGCTTCACTTCACTCTTTCTCCATGTCCGCACATGAATTGCCTTGATTTCTTATCAAAGATAATTTTATAAAAGCTTTGTCTGGCCGAAGTGCACTCAACTTGTTATAAAACACATTTTAAATTTATCAATAAAGAATAGCTTAAAATGGAAATTTTTTATTTTGATTTAGATTCTATTTTAGACAATTACTTGTATTTGTATAGGTATAGGCTTTAAGCCTTAAGCTGGGATGAGGTTACTTACAGTGTATTTCATTATTAAGTGTAATACTTATTCATAATTTATTTATTTCTATAATGCTATAAGCTTGTTATAAATTACATTTATAATTAATATTTTTTATTATTTATAGATTTCATTGAAATTTATAAATTGTAACTAGAAGAAAAAAGGTATTGTAGTTTTATTAAAGCGATTTACATGAACTTTCGATGAATAACATTGAATACATATAAATTAAATAGCCGGGAACGTAAATACTAGTATGAGTTATGTTTGGTTTTCTATTCTAAATGGCCTGCTGGAATTTTATTTAATTTTTAAAAAAAGTATTAAAAATAATATAAATAGTGGACCATTATTATTTTTATTAAGCGAGTAAAACTAAAGAAACACGATTAAGTTATTGGATCAAATGATCCAAAATATCTTGTCTAATAATTTAAAATGGAATATTTTCTTATTCATGTCCTTTCATAGCTGTTACAAAATAAATTCATTTAAAAAATCACATTGTGTGTAATTAGCCAAGGTTTCTTGATTTTTATTAAAGAAATGCATTTATATACCATGTGTAAATTTTGTAAATAAAATTTGATCTCCAAATGTAATTTCCGTATTTCAGATCATTCGCGAGAACTGGAATCTGAAGTACAGCGCCTGTTTTATCCTGTGTCCGGTGCGAACTCCTCCCCTGGCCGTTCCCCATTTTGTGAGCGTGGTGTCCCGCTTGCGGGCTCCTCCGGGTAATCTACTGATCTTGCGAAACACCGATCAGGATGCGGATTTTTCGCCGAGTACGGCGCGCAATGCGAGTGCCAGGAAAGGATTGCCCGTGGGTCGGCCTCCGCCGAGTGGCGATAACATACCCGATCGTATAGCCGTCTGCGTGAAACCCTTACATTTTAACTACGATCAAGCGCTATATCTGATGGAATACCTGGAGTTCTACGCCCTGCTGGGTGTCTCCCACTTCACCTTCTACAACCACACCTTGGGACCGCACGCCTCCTGCGTCCTGCAGAGCTATCAGCAGGGCCTGGTGCCTGGAAATCTTACCGCCCATGATCTGGAACCGCTGCTGCCAGCGGATGCGGCCAATAATGCCACGCCCCGCGTTCTTAGGACGCAGTACGAACGACCCACGGTCAGCATCCTGCCGTGGAACCTGCGCATGCGCAGCCAGAAGGAGATCCGCACCGAAGGACTCTTCGCGGCCCTAAACGACTGCCTCTACCGCACCATGTATCGCTACAAGTATCTGGCCCTGGTCGATCTGGACGAGTTCATTGTCCCCCGCTACTCGGACACGCTTAACGAACTCATTAGGTGAGTTTTAAGGATGTGTGGAGGATACTTTCATGTCCTTAGCAAAAACATATTCTGTTGTTCTTAAAACAGATCAATTTTTATGTTTCACTTGTTTCGCCTTTATAAAATGTCTTACCTTAGCTATATATATATAATACTATTCAGTTTTTTGCATAGATCACGATTATTTATTATAATACACCTGACCAAAGATAATTCTGAAGTTTTGAAAGTGAATAATAATATTAATATATTTTTTTGTAGATCTCTGAACCAGCGCTTTCGCAATCGCAACACTGGAGCCTATTCCTTCCAGAACGCTTTTTACTATCTGCAGTTTGCCGATGATAGTCTGGCCAGTTCGGGAATAGAGGGTGGCAATGACCAGTTGGCCAGTGTGCGGGCTTCTCTGGTCACCCAACGAAAGACCCGCAGGTGAGTGTGCCTCTTTAAAAGGAGGAGGAAATCGAGATACTATTTATAAACTCTCCCCAGGCGCTATAAGCTGCATCCGCAAAAGCAGCGATCCAAGTACATCTGCAAACCAGAGGCAGTTGTCGAGGCGGGCAATCACTTTGTGTGGGAATTCGCTCCGGGAAAAGGATCCCTCAACGTTCCGCCGAAGGAGGCCATTTTGCAACACTATCGGGTGAGTACTCAGAATAAAAATTATGTCGTTTTTAGAGAGCAGCTTAAGATAGTATAACGATTTTTTTAGTTAATTAAAGTTGTATACATTTTGTAGAATCTTAGGTACATAATAATTGACGTAAGGAAGGGATACCAAAAGATACCCATTGTACATTAAAAATTTAGGACTCGAAAATATTTGGTTTTTCATAAACTAGATAGGTGCTAGAAAGAGTGTTTTATGTTTAAGTAAATCTCTTTAATTTTTATTTTTTTGAGAATCTAAAACATTTTATCATTATTATATTGTTATATTATTACTAGGTTTGTGAGTTCGGTGGCAACGACTGCATCAAGGCGCCCTCAATAGTGGATCGTACGACCACGAAGTATGTAAATCGCCTAGTCCAGCGGGTGGATGCTGTCTACCGTCATCTGCGCCAGCGTTGCGATCTTCCTGCCTTGCCCCCGCTGCCCAAGACCATGGAGAAGCCCAAGGAAATGGCCAAAGAGAAGCCCAAGGAAGATGCCAAGGAGAAGCCCAAGTTGCTGCAGAAGATGCGAGAATCGAAAGCGAAGGACCCTCGATCCCTGGGTGTCACAACGAAGGAGAGCTTAATCAAAGGAATGGCTGTCACAGCTGCCCCAACAACCAAAACAACAACGACGACGAAGGCAACAACGAAAAAAGTGACAACGAAGAAACAGCAGCTGCAGAAATCCCTCCCGGTCACCACGCCCATGATCACTACCGCAAGGACTTCAACAGCCCCCAAACAATCGCATCCTTCGGCCAATGTCCGCAAGAAACGGAAGTTGATCGTCTTCGAGATCAATGATTTCGGGATCCCCGTGGCCCGGGTGGAATACCAATGAGATAGGGACTTGGCTGGCAACATTTAGATGGGGCTTTTGGTTCGTTTCTGTGCCAATTAGTTTGAGATTATATTTTGGTTGTGCTCCGCTGCGGTTAATCAGAATGCTCAACAATCGAACTGACCCTTACGATTTAAGTACACTTATTTGCTCACCCTAGAAGTAAAACGCCGCACGCATTTGAGTAAGCCCAAAGCAATACCACAAGATTTTAGCAATACGATCTCGAAGCAACGACATCAGCAAATACGAATACAGTATAGACAACATATTTGTTTACACGTTATTACATCTAAAGTCCTTTGAATACTTTTTGAGTCCTAAAGAATATTTTCCAGTTATCTAAATTTTGAACTTATCAAACAAAAAATTATTTTGAAATATTTTTGATTCCAACCAGGAGCAGGTTATAAAAACGTGAGACTTACAAAAGGTCGCTTTTTGTTTCCGAAATGCACAAAAAATACTCAGACAATGCTAGATAGAAGCAACTAATAAAATTATAATCACTAATGACAGTTTAGTTTTTCTTCTTCATTTGGAAAATATTGTTTCCCAATTTTTGGTAATCCTAATGCAAAATTATTCCTAAGCAAAATTCAGAAAATTCCTAAAGCGAAATTCATATGTAATCTAAGCCATTGTTTCGTGTTGTAGATTAAGCAATAAAATATACAAAAAAGAAATTGAAGCAAAAGGCGTACAGATAGTGAATATGTAATAATACTTTCCCTGCGAACTGTTAGTGCAACATTACCATTTCGCAAGGCAAAAAATCCTCCGAGGTACGCGCTTAGACTCTGAATTAGCGAGCTATGAAAGGCTTAGGACATATCTGCTTGTCCCTAGACTCGATCTGGCAGCAAAAATCGAAAGTAATTAGTTAAGGCTTACCACAAAACTGAAACGAATTTTCAATGCTTCGAAATCTGTATACTTTTTGTTTGGCTTAGCGCGCAAAAGGTATAACATAATTATAAAGTAAATCAAACATAACATTAACGAAATAAACAATGACGTAATAGTCGATCTATAGTAATTAAGTGGCAATTTCAGATGCTAAAGAGATCTATTAAATACAAGAAGTCAATAAAATTGCAATTAAGCAAACTAAGATAGATAACTTGCCTTTCATTTTTCTGGGAGAGGTTCATTCAGTTCCCAACATTCGCAAAGTCAGTAAGGGGAAATCGTATGCATGTTATACGGGGCGTATGCGCTATAAATGGAATTCCTGTGGTAGAACATTTTCGTTGTCTTATGTTTGTTACACAGGGCGTATTAGCAATAAATGGATTCTTATGGTAGAACAATTTCGTTCTTTATGTTTGTTATAGAGGGCGTATGCGCTATAAATATGACACTTGGCGTAAAGTTTTTCTTGGATATACAAAAGCACAAAAGTTCAAACGTCCATTTATAGCACAATAGTCTGTAAATGGCATACAATTTTATTGTCATACAAAACAAACTTGTACAACACTTTTAAGGGGAATCCACAAAGTTCATTTGTAACTTACTTATATAAATAGGGGAAGTATTTTGAGTGCAAGTTGGTATATAATTTATTTTCTTCATCTTAGTTTATTGAAAAGTTTTTCACATTTAGCGCTAAGGCTCATCAGTATAAAAATCCGCATGATATTTACCTTTTTAAAAAAATGTACTAAATAAAACTTTAGCGAACTTTAAAAACGAATGATTAACGGAAAAAAATGTTTCCATTAAGGCGTGACCGTTGTCTCATTATTATATTGATATTGAATGCGAAAGCAACCGCAAAAAAATGTGTCCTTTCATTGACGAAGTTAATTTCAGGTTGCAAGCTGACTCATACCAATAAGTTTTTTGTTCGCTTGGATAGTAATGAAATACATATCATGGTAAGATGAATCTTTAAAATAATATTTTTTTGGGATATATATTTTCGTGGCTCACCCTTATATCCCTTAAATGTAACTGGCCATGAAGTTTTTTGTTTGTTTGGATGGGTAAAATTTTTCATGTGAACATGAAGCTTTTTAAATAGATATTATATAATGTTATATCTTATAATGTTACCGATAAGTTGGCATATAGGTCAAGCACTTCCAATTTCATGTTTTTTTAAGAATTTTAACACAAAATGTAGAAGAGCCTTTTGAAGGGTCATTGGAACTTCAAAGGAATTGGCCAATTTAATTAGAGAGTTGCATTAATTTTTGCCCAGAAAATATAATCGATGGCTATTTAGCGTATTTTGTTGCATTAAATTAAAATTTATTGTGCCTCTTTTACCCCACACCTTAATAATAGAATACGATTTAGTGAATATTTCTACGAGGAGTCGTCATCGTTGCTGGAGTCGTCGGTCGATGACTCCTCTGATCCGGAGTCATTCTCGGTGGTGGTCTCCTCTTCGGAGCTCGAGTCGTCATCGGTGGAGTCGCGCTGCTCCAGGTATTGCCTGATGATCTCGTCCAGCTTTCGCTCCACAATGGGCCTCTCCAGCGCGTGCTCGGCCAGAGTTTGGCCCACACATCCGCTGGCATTCAGACCGATGGCCAGCAGTCGGATGCCTCGGACCCTCAGGTTGAGCAGATCCTGGGGAGCTGAGTCGAGTCCTCGCAGGGCCTTATCGATGCCATTGCGGCAGGAGCGGAAGTTAAGGTTGTTCTTCAGGCAGAGCTCCACTTGGGCGGTCAGGTTGCTGGTGGCATTCTGGTATTTGATAATGGTTTCTTGGACAACCTGCTCATAGGTGGCCTGTTGCACCTGCAACTCCTCCACGCAGCTGTGAAGATATCCGCCATATCGGTTGACCAGCTCGTCGAGGATCTCCTCGGCCTCCTCGTTGCCAACGCCATTAGTTTGCTCATCCACTCGCTGCAATTGAGCGGCGGCCCAGTTGCTCCACTTCTCCTGAATTACGGCGGAGTACTCCGTCTTCTTCTCGTCCAGACGATCGTTGAGGTTGTTAACGGCAACCTCCAGATCGGCGACTCCTGCATTTATGGTCTGCAATTTGGTCAAGGCGTCCTTGAGGGCCTGTCGCTGTAGGACATTCCTAACCCGGTTTATCTCGCTGAGGAGTCTAGAGATGCCTTCGTGCAGGGCGTAGGCGAAGTCCCTGATTCCGCCGGTGGCAGCTTGGTGCACGGCATCTGCGATTCTCTGGGCAAACGCCACCGTTTCATGGGAGTACAGCTCGGTGGAGTTCCTCAGGCTCTCGAGGAACTCCCCGGCTATGGCCGTTCCATTCTTACTGGCATCCACAATCCCGCTGATGATATTCTGGCCGGTCTGGTTGAGTGAGCTCAAGAGTTCATCCAGCAGTTCCGGTTGCGGCGTGGCCACCACACAGCTGGCGCTGATGGCCAGGGCGAGCAGGAGCAGTGATGACTTGGTTGAATGCATCGTCGGTCCACTGATACCCTAATCATCTCTCTGCCCCGGGACTGCCTTTTATATATCTCGGATAGCTGCTTGGTGCTTGGGCAAATAGATTTTCCGACAAGTTCAATATTTGGAGAGACCATTTTATTAAATTAGTTAATATTTAATCAGCCGCTTTTCGCTTGACGACACCCGCTGTCCACAATAGAAGAAAAGTGCACACTGGTTGCATAATTTTCAAAGAAAGCTATTTGCACAATTCTTGGAAGAAAACGTGTTACTTTATGTGGTTAAAATTATAGTAAATACAATAAGATCGCATAACAAAGTCGCAGTCTCCACATTGAGCTATCAATATGATGAACAAAATCTTGTCATCAAATGTTGTAAATGTGAGATTAGATTAAATTTAATCAAGAGAAGTTTGTTCTTTAATAAAAAACAAATTATTCTCCAAGCAATGTTATTTTTTCAAAATTTAGTTTTAGGCATCGGAATATTTATTAACTGATATTATTTAACTTTTTATGCATAAAAGTCGTCTACACACAGAGAAATATTCAAGTACATGGTTCTTGAATTGAGAACATTCGTTCTTATAAACCGTGTAAGTACATTTTGTTATCAATGTTGTCAATATTAGGACCAAGTGTTGAGAAGAGAAAAGGTAAATTGAGTTTATATAACAACTTTTTAATAAGTATACACTATTGACTGGACTAATAGTTTAGTTATTGAGATTTACAATGTAAATACCGCAGATTCATCTCGATTCAAGCAAAATAAAAACATTTTCAACGTCAAAAATTTCCTTCTATTCTATTCTTCTAACGTCAGAATTCTCTCTGTGTAGTAACAGTTCTTTATTAGTTAACTTTATTGAAATGTCTTTGATATATTACACAGAGAAGTGCTATAATTTTCGGTCTCTGATTTTATGGATTTTAAATTTCAGTAAAAGTTTTAAGTTAAAACTTACATTAATGGAACTCAAATAATTGTTAATCTTCGGTTCTAAAGAAACATGGTAAAGGTGAATATTTCAAGAAGCAATGATAAAACAGAGCCTGAATATTTTCCTGTTTTTAATTGTTTTAAAGCACCCAATAGTTTTCTATTTAGCGCTGTCATATTTTTTGCAATCAAAGCTCGCTGGTTAAAAGGTGAAAATAAATCAAAAAAGTCAATTTCGAAAGCATTAAAATTAAAGTGCTCTTTATGCGGGCCTCACACGTACATTCCCATAATGCACACCCAAACAATCGCGTGTATACCCTCCCCCGCATTTGCACAAGGACAAAGGTTAAACTTTGCTTTAATTTTGAAATTTATATGCCTGCAAAACAAAGGAGTGAGCATACCGTCAGCGGTATGTTTACGCTCAGGTTAAACCCCTTTTGTGGCGAACTTTATGCATAACTAACCGAAAAGGAAAGGGGCTCAGAGTGGGTGGATGAATGGGGCATTTTGGAGAGCTGGAATGGGGGGGCCCCAGGTATAATGATTGTCTTCAGCCTGCCTTTATTATGACTTTAATTGTCGCTTGACAAACGTTGACACACACCGTCCTGAAATACTGGGAAGGTATGTGAGCAGACATGCAAAGATATGGAGATGGAATGTGGGGGTGGCGATGTGGCGATGTGGCGAGGCCGTGAGCGACATGCACTATGAACATTTTATTAGTCTGCTGTTAGTTTTGTTTAATTATGCTGTCATTAACTTTGTCGCACAGCCACACGCATAACTGCAAAACAAAAGCTTACATGTCTCAACGCAATTATTGCCGGAGTGGCCAACAAAGGGCTCCGCAGGACGAGTGGCCACCAGGAGGGGCAAGGACAATGGGTCCTGGCCGGGCGACACCCACAGTCTTCTGGCTCTTTCACCCTGCCCGTCCTGCCCACCATCTCCCCCATCTGTCTACCCACTGCACAGACATTTAATTTTGCATTTTCCACTAATTGGCTTGCATACTTGCCATATTCTCGCTTCGCTTAATTAATTTAATTAGAAATATGTTACAGCTCAAAAGAAGTTCAAACCTCAAAACCGTTTCAATAGCATGCGGCCCCGTTTAGCTTATGATAATGATGTCGCAATTGCAATTACATTACCTGTATGGATGGAGGTCGGATCGGAG